TGTGTGTGTGTGTGTGTGTGTGTGTGTGTGTGTGTTTGAACTTTTAGAACAATCTCAGGAAAACCTCCAACCCCAGCCGTCACAGTTCTACTTCTGTCCTAAACAGCATTGGAGGAAGGCAGACCGGTCCCCCCAACCGTCCTCTGGACTATTTTCCTTTGGTCTCGGAAGACGCACAATGTAGATGGATCAGCGTCCTTCCGGGGTGAGGGACAGGACGTGTGGGAGACCTCTATAAAAATCGACTGGGAAATAAAGTGAAAAAGAAGAACCTGGTGGCCTACGCCCCACCAACAGAAAACTTCAAGAAGGTCACTTAAAAAAAATTGGCAAGCACTCAGAGGACTGTTGGCACGGATGGGCTGAGCGCTGCTGTCTTGGTCTGCTCGTCTGAGCTTTTCAGATTTATTTCACGTAGTGAGTCTCCCCCGGCCACCTCCTATTTGTACCATTTCTCGAGTGGAGCTTACTTCACAGTAAGGCTAGGCATGGAAACGACCCCGTGAGGGACCTCGCAGCAGCGCAGTGGTGAGAGTCCCCTTGGATCCCCTGCGCCTTGCCTCACAGCTGGGCGTAAATAAGCTGGGCGCTGCAGCTCTGCTCTGGGCCAGCTGGGGGGGCTCAGCTCGGGCTCCCCGGGGCTCCAGCAGCCGGCAGGACCCCGGCACAGGCTTCTTCCAGGAAGATCCGGGAAAACAGCAGATGTCTGGCCAAGGGTTTCCAATGAGCTCCCTGGCCGTGTGGTCTGGCCGGCTTCCACCTGGCTCTGCGCACCGGGGCAGTCGCCCCAGGGAATCCCAGTCCTGCAGGCGCAGGAGCCCCCTCACCAACCCGGTTGCAGACTCGGCTGGAGAGGGAAGGGAGCCGCGCGGGGACCCACACCGGGCGCCCTCCGCCCTCCGGGCTGGTCCGGCATCGGGACGCTCGGTGCAGCCCAGCCGGAGAAGGGTGCAGGCAGTCAGGGCTTTGCAGGAGGCCAGGCCGCTCTGGGTGCAGCCCGGGTCCCCTGGCTGCCTGGGCTGGGAATCAAAGCCACCTGGGTGACACGCAGTGAGCGCCAGGGAGGTGCTGGGTGGCAGCCTTTCAGGAAAGGCGAGGAGGAGGAGATGCAGGAGGAGAAGGATAGGAGGAGGTGGAGGAGAAAGAGGTAGAGAGGAAGAGAGGAAGAGAAAAAGGAGAAGGAGGGTGAGGGGAGGGAAGGCGGAGGAGGAGGCGGAAGGAGGAGGAGGCCGGGCGCAGGGTGCAGAGGCAAAGCTGGGTAGCCCGGGCCCGCACTGTGGGTTCCCCAGGTTTGCAGAAAGGCAGTGAGCTGCCCTAAGGAATTCCGTGCGCTGTGGAGAGCAGAGAGAGAGAGAGCGCGCGCGAGAGAGCCAGAGAGAGGGGAGAGAGAGAGAGAGAGAGAGAGAGAGAGAGAGAGAGAGAGAGAGAGAGA